ATCGCGCCGCAGCCCGGCCGGCACCGCCGCCCCTCCGCCTCCCTCAGCGCGGCGCGCTTCCGCACCCCCTCAGCGGGCTCAGCCAATCGGCCCGCGCCAGCGCCGCGGCCGACCAATCCCCGCCCGTCCTCTGCTCGGCCTCGCTTCCGCATTGGGCCACGGCTTCAGGACCTCACCACCGGGAGCCCTCCAGCAGGAGGAGCTCATTGGGCCGAGGGGAAAAGGCGACCAATCAGAGCAAGCGGCGTGGCACCTCCCAGGGAAGGGCGCGGAGGAGGGCCGCGCCCTTTTACCTCAGCGACGCCGCAGGCGCATCCCTGGTTTCGGTCGCGTCCGCGGCTCCTGGCCAGGCCCTGTGGGCCGGGCCAGTGCCCACCGGGGCCCGCAGCGTCCCGTCGGGGACCTTCACCCGAGCCCGGAGCATTGTCTCAGCCCGGGGGCCTTCACCTGAACATTGTCACTCCCGGGCGCTCCAGCAGGCGACAGCCCCAAGCGCCCCCGGGGCAGCGCTGACAGGAATCCTCGTGCTTCTCTCACTGGGAGCTCGTTCTTGCCGAGAACTGGTTTATGTCGGAGGAGAGCAGGCCAGGTTTGTTGCAGCAGCCCTCTCATCTAACGTGTAATCTGGGTTATAAGAAAAATAGCAGCTGGGTCAATCTGACTGACTGTTGAGGGCCCTGGGACAAAACACGTTGCAAGTAGGACTGGTCCATCAATTGCCATCAGACCCTGGGGTGAGGTAAGGTCCTCACAGTGAGAACGCTGTCAGAAATCAACGAGATACAAGGTTACTACCCCAGGTACGGGCAATGGTCTAGATACATCCTTGGGGAGCTGGAATTGGCACAAGTAGGTCAATTCAGGCTACTTCTGCCTCAGAGCTGGCTGGTGGCACATGTAGGTCTGCTCCTCCCTGCTGTTCTGGCTCTTATAGTTGTGGAAATGTGCCCCTGTTGGGGGATTTACAGGCAAATGTAACATAATGTTGAAAAACAAAGGGAATTCATGGTGGTGAACTGTCTTGCATGACATACCACTGGTGCAGTAATTGCTGGATTATACTAGAGCTTCTGATGGCAGGGCAAAAATACTATACAAAGAACTAACAATGACTGCTGTATCATTAAGCTGTAGTGATCACATCTTTGCTTTTGGATCTGGAAGTTCACCTTCTGTGATTCAGTCTCTTTTGTTAAAAGTTTTTGTAACAAGAAGAGATTATTAAGCTCCATTCTGTATAAAAGACAGCTGCATAAATTAACATACATGTTGCCCTTCATTGCATGGTTTTGCAAACTGAAGAATTCCCCCCCCATCCCCCCCCAAAAAAAAATTATAGCAAGAAAAAGGTCTCCTTTATCAATAGGAAGCAACCGTGGACAAAGGAACTCCTACGGAATCTATTAGCTTTTGCCTCTCAAACTGCTTATTGGATTGAGGGATGTATCACATCACAGACAGTCTGGTGAGAGTCTTGTGTAACACTCCCAGGAATACAAAGTAATTTAACAGAGCAAAAGCTTTTTGACCTTCTTAGCAGCAAGGAAACAGGTAGAAGGGCACCTCCCTTGGGGCTTAAGTCTTTGTAACAACGGTATTCTGAGTGTGCAATAGCAAAGAACTGCAGCACTGCACTTTCTATTATAGGATGATTTAGAAAGGACATTAGTGTTGCTGGCTAGTGGAAACATCATAAGATGCTCAGCTGACTCTGTCTCTTCCACCAGTCTTGGATCCACGAGGCTTTTTCCTACCCATGTGATACCACTTCAGTGAATGGTTAATTTTCTTTATGCTGGCTTCAGCCCATTTTGTACAGCTATACCTACCTCTAAGAAAAATCTCTGACTTAAACATCAGGCCTGCATTAAAACAAGCTCAAGTACTAAACTCGGTCACATACATGCACATGTACACACACAGACTCAGTGTGTTTTTCTGAGGACTAAAAACTCATTTGCTAGTGCCAGAAGTATAAATGTTTGCTCACAGAAAAGCAAAAGATCACCCACTGATAGTCAAATGCCATATTTCTATGTCATTCTAAGAAGCCTTGCTATTCTAACTAAAACAACAGCTCACATTTGCTGCTGTTGTTATAAATGGGGCAAAACCAGATGTCTCTGGTTGCCATTTTAGCCGTGGAAAATCAATCATATGGGGCTTTAGCTGGCACCTGTCTGTCTTTCTGGGAGGTCGCTCAGTCTCAGTGCATTTACTGCCATTTACATGGTGCTCCCTACAATGCTTTTCAGTCCTACTTTAGAAACATAATTGGGTTAGAACGGTTGCCAACAAAGAACCCCATCAATGCCAAACACCCGTGGCAATTAACAGCCACGTCACTGCTACAGGGCCCACTATTGTTTCCAGTAGACTGCTGTAAGCTACAGGTGAACTTGCCTTGGAAATTATGTGACGGTGCACACTGGTAATGGCAATGTCAGCTTTTTTGATAGGAATCTCATCATGTTTCTTGTTTATGCACACAAACAAAATAATTCAACAGTGTCATAAAAGGGGAGAATGTAAAATAGAACTAGAATGCCTTCTACCTTCAATCACTTAGCCCCGCAGTCCTTTTGCAGATTTGATTTTCAAGGATTTTGGAAATGCTTACCATTTCCACCCAGGTGCACCTGTAGGTATAACTTGGCCCTCCCTGCAACACAGGTTTTAGTGGATTTGGCAGCTCCAAAGGCTTTTAGTATACAGGAATGAGAAATCTGTGGCATAAGAAAAATTCACAGGTTGTATGCTGGCCCAAAGCAAGGTATTACAGAAAAGGATTTTCCTTTTTATATTGGCCTTTGTTAAACATGCTTTAGCTTTCTGTTTGCTTTACATGACAAAAGCAGTGACTGATAACTAAAGCAGCATAGCGGGCAACTCCTAGGCTTGTCCTACAATCTAAAAAGCACTGGTGCATCTTTTGGGTATAGACAGCCCTTGATTTATGGAGAACACTGCAGTACTGTCACCTGCATTATTTCTCAGACTGTCCCTAACCTTAGGCAAAATATATAGGGCACGGTTCTGAAGATATTAGTACCCGATACAAAAGTAAGTCCACGAGCTCTTCCATTGACTTTTCTCTGCATCTGGTCCTTTCTCTGGTATCCATAAGGATGAACTGTACTGAAATTGAGGGAGTCACACTAGTGAATCAGGCCTGTAAACATTCTGTGGTTCTTTCTGTCTCCTTCTTTCACCCCACACTGATGAACTGATGTTTATAAACCTCACATTTGTATCCATTGGCATGCCTTACAACAGAGCTCTTCCAGCTGTGACCCCTAAGCATAATACAAATAGTAAACAGTAGTAATAACAATAAAATGCTGTCACCCAGGGAGAAAGCAAAATGACAAAAAAGATGGCTTGCCAAAAATGTATAGAATTACACAGTTTCTTATCACTCAGCCCACACTGTTTAAGGACCAGAGACCCAGAATCAGCTATTCAGATTTTTGCATTCAGCAGATGTAAACATAATAAGAATAAGCAGAGTAAGTAAATAAGCAAAAGACATTTGACAAAAAAAGTACTAACATATACATATTTAAATGGAAGAATTTTTCATCTGGGGGAGAAGAGCTGATGTATTTTTTATTGCTGTCTTCTGCTTCTAGTCTTTGAGGAAGGAAGGACTTCCCTGAAAGTTCTACAGAGAAATGGCGATCTGTGTCTGGTAACATTGTCAGCATCTCTCAACTGCTCTCCTGACTGATGCTAGCCCTTCAAGAAGATGGGCTGTCCCCTCACAGCTCCAAAAGAATTACCGTCCATTTCCATGCAATCAGCTGCTGTTGTCCAGGTGCTTTCACTGATGCTGGGAGACGACAACAATCGCTGTAAGTGATCTGCCAGATTAATTTACAAGTGTAGTAATGTTGTTGAGGAGTTCCCAATGTTCTCATTGGTAACACCAGCTCCTTTGTAGAACTTGTAGAATGACAGGGAGTACTCGTGGTTCTACAGTGGTCTCTTCTTCCATGTCTGATAAAATAGGTAGTTCTCCCTGGCTATAATTTGTGCTACTAGTTTTTTTAGACGTTGTTTCTCTTAGCAGTTCAGCAGTAGTCTGCTTTAGAGAGTCTTCTGCCTCTCATGGTAGACTTTCACAGAATTTTTAAGGCAGTAGTTCTGTGATCTCTGGCAGAGGAGGGATATTTTGGCTAATGGGTTTCTTGGTTAATTCTACTTTGCTGATACTAATTTTTTGTTTAAGCAAAATTTTTTGTCCTCCACTTCTGATGTAAGTTTTCAAGCTTTATAACAACTCTTCAGATATCCTTGCTTCAGCCCCATTAATTCATGCTGATAGCTTTATGCTATTGCCTTTCAGTTTTTTGAAGTCAAACATCATCTCAAAGTGTACCTTTGTGACAGGAACAAACATCAATCCAAGCTAATCTGAAAGTATTTTTTCATAGTTAGATAAAACTGTGTCTGCCTGCATTTTCAACAGGAGACTCAACAGTCTCCTCGTGACATCTGAAAAACTTATATCCTCCCAACTTTAACTTTTTTTGCTTCTCCACTCCACACCTTTAGGAAGTAAGAATGCTTAGAAATAGAGGATGTGCAAACTATTTCCAGCTGTCAAAAAAAAAAAAAGACAATTATTAAAAATTTTATGCATTAATACTTTATATGCAAAAGATAGCCTTTTTTTTTTTTTTTTCTTAACATGAGGACCTGTCCCTAGTATCTTTAATTTATTTTAATGG